TGGCGGTTGAAGAGGGAAGATAAAGTTTTCACTGTCATACAGTTGAGCTGCTTCTGCACAAGAGACTGAGTGTCATGAAAGCATGTCTAGGACCCGGCTGAAACAAAGCCCTAAAGCTAAGAAACCTATAAAAACGTCTCGGTTACGTATGGTAACCCTCGTTCCCTGAAGGAGGGAACGGAGACGTCACGTCGGATGACCGACGAAATTGGGATCTCGCTTAGAGAGACCAATCTACTTCGAGTGTAAACTAAACGAGCCAATGCACATTGGCATGCAATTATTGCATCCAGCTGCCGCTGATCACAGCGTGAGTATAAGTAGGCAGCAGATGCAGCGCATATTCAGGTTTTCGCTGAGGAGCCGAGCCGGTGACCCGTCCGCTCAGCGGTGATACAGGATCTGTGGCGACGGGACGTGACGGGACGTCGGATGACCGGCGAAATTGGGATCCTACCAAAAGGCCACAGCTACTGCCCCTTCCAGTGTCCTGTGGAAGCCACCTGCGCCCCTAAGAAATGCCCGGGTGATACGTTGTCTATAGCAAAACCCACATCGTCTTTACAAAGACGTAACGTCAAGTTTGCCACGCAACGTCGTCTTTAAAAAGACGTACCCGAAATTGCTCTTTTAGGGGAAAAGGCTCTTTTAGCGTGCTGAGGCGCACAGGGGAGATGATCATCTGCAACACAAACGGGGTAGTGCAGCCTGATGTGTGCAACCCACTCGACACGGGAAACCACCGCTGAAGCGCCGTACCGCCAACACGAAGAGCTCTCCAAGAGCGCGCTGAACTCGTTCAGTCTTCTTCTCTCAGTAGAGTAGTCAGGAGCAGAACGATGTGATCGCTCGGCTCCGAAGCGAAAAGCTGAATATGCGCTGCATCTGCTGCCTACTTATACTCACGCTGTGATCAGCGGCAGCTGGATGCAATAATCGCATGCCAATGTGCATTGGCTCGTTTAGTTTACACTCGAAGTAGATTGGTCTCTCTAAGCGAGATCCCAATTTTGTCGGTCATCCAACGTGACGTCGAGAGTGACCGACTGAAAGGGAACTGCTTTCTTTTCCCCAAAATTCCATTCCATTCCATTTCTTTTTTTTTTTTTTTTTTTTAAATCTATGTTTTCTGTTTTCATTTTCTCTGGATTCTGTTTTCTAATTCCGTTTAAATAAATAGTAATAATCAAAAAGGGTGTCTTATCAATTAAATTCATAAAACTTTAACAATTTAATATTTCATTACAATTTTAACAATAATAGGCCTTTTTTCTAAATTTCATTTTATTTTTTGCCTATTTTGATGTTTTCTGCTTAATTTTTTTCTAATTCCATTTTTTAATGGTTTAATTAAATTTTAATAATCAAAAGGGATGTTTAATCAGTTAAATTCATAAAACTTGAACTATTTAATTTATTGCAATTTTAACAAAAATTAATTCTGTTTAATTAAAATGTATTAATCAAAAAGGATGATGTCTGATCAATTGTTATTCATAAAACTTTATTTAAAAAAAAATATACAATTTTTAACAACAATAGGGCTCTATGAAATGTTTTATTTTTTTCTGAATTCCATTTTTTATTCCTCCCAAATCCCATGTTTTCTGTTTTAATTTTTCTGGATTAATTTTTTTTTTACTTACTGTTCAAATAAATTTTCATAATGAAAAATAACATTTAATAATGTAATAATTTATTAAAGATTTAACAATAATAGGGATCAATAAAATGTTTTTTTTTTCTCCCAAATCCCATTTTATTTATTTATTTATTTTTTTTTTCAAATTTTGATGTTTTCTGTTTACATTTGTTTTTCTGGTTTACATTTTTAATGGTTTAATGTATTTAGATTTTTTTTTCATTAATAAGGATGTCTAATCAATTGAATTCATAACACCTTAACTATTTAATAATGTATTTAAACTTTAACAATAATATGGACCTTTGAAATGTTATATTTATTTATTTTATTTATTTTTATTTTTTCATAAATTCTGTGTTGTCCGTTTTAATTTTTCTGGATCCTATGTTTTATGATTGAATACACATATCCTATAAAAATGGTAGGAATCAAATGAATGCATAAAACTGTCACAATTTAATTAATCTTTTAATATGTAATCAAATGAAATTGGATCAATTCCTTTCATTTTCTGGCCAAAGTGCTGAACAACATGTTTACAGTTTAAATTAAAAGTTGATCAAAAAATGTTGTGATACTGCAATAAAAATGTATTACCAAAGAACAAAAAAAAAAAATCCTAGGGCCCTAGAAAGCCCTTGTTTGTAATTATCACTAAGGGTTTTCTTGCAGGTCACAGTTCACCCCTTGAGAGGAAACCTGCGTGACCGGCCAAGAAGTGGCTAATCGTAATATACGTAATGATTAATATGTGATGAATATCTACTTGACTGGAGCGAGTGGCGTTTGGATAAAGTGTTCTGAGAGCTGAAATCAAGTCATGTAATCGTGTCTCATAAAAGCCTGCAGATGGCTGTAATCTGTAATAGAGTTATACGCTTTAATCAGTTTGGAGAGCGGCGGCAAATGCCACCGAAGTGACCTTTAACTGGAGGAATATTGTGACTGAAGGCTCAGCTGTTTGGTCTGTATAAGAGGCTCTGTTAACTGTGTCTCTGTTTGCTCCGCTCGGGAATCTGATGAAGCGTAAAGGTCAGAAGATGTTTGTGAATTCACACATTTGCATGGGATACTTGAGGATCCTTTGAACTCAACCAGCGAGGATCTTTCCGCTCTTGGCTGCGACTTTGGCCTTGGCTCTTCTTTAAATCTGCTGAAGCGATACAAGAATCACCTTTAGTGAACAGAAACACGTCTCCGCTGCTGCAAAGTTAGTATTGTGTAGTTAGTGCTTTGTTATCTCGTAGCGTGTAGGTTTGAATGTGACCTGAGAAAGGACGGCAGTGGATTGAATTCAAGGTACCACTGTGGATTGCTGGGTAATGCAAGTGTTTTTCCTGAGTAGAAATGCAATGCATTTTTATAAACATAGCAACACTTTCCATATAATCAAATTGCTTACTGTGTTCTGAGGGGTGTTTTTTAGCAGCCATTATGACTGGAATTCAATAATATTGCATGCAGTGTCTGGCCACACATAAAACCAATTTAACTGGCATGGATTTATTTGGAGGAATCGCAGTTATTTATTTTCTCAGGAGGGTCTTTAGACGATTTATGCCATTTTTTTGTGGATCAGCAGCCTGGGATGAGATTGAAAAACAAAGAGAAAAAAAGGTTTTATTGGGAGATTCAGAGATGGTGTAAAAACATTGCAAAATGATTTTGACATCAACAACAAACTTCATTGTGAGTTAGCAAAATGTAAGATATATTTAATATTTAAGAAAAAATAAATAAAATAAAACAAAAAAACTTAAATAAAAATAATAAAAATTATATATGAATTGGCATTTATTTTTACATTTTCAGTTTTTATTTTAATTGTAGTTTTATTAATTATTCAGTTAATATAGCTTTATTTTTATTTCATTTCTGGATTTAGTACTTAACATTTATTTATTTCGGTTTATTGCCGAAACATTTATAATTTTCGTATTTTACGTTTTTTTTATCTACTATTTATTTTATTCTTTATTTTATTCAGTTTCATTTCAATTCAATTTAGTTACATTTTTTGTCATTTTATTATGCACTTTTGTCATGATTATTAGTTTCTACAAATATTTATATAGTTAGAATTTAATTTTAGTTTTATTTCAATTAATCAATTAATTTCAATTAAAAATTACTTAAACTTACTTCAGTTAGTTACTAAGGCAACATTTCAAGTTTCCATGTAATATTTAGCTATAAATTATTTTATTTCAGCTTTATTTCAATTCAATTTAGTTTAATTTTTTAGCAATTTTATGGGCTTTTATGTTTATTAGTTTATTTATTTATTTAGATTTTACTTGCTTTTCAATTAGTCATTTTAGTACTTCAGCCTATTTTAATTAGTTACACAAGGCATCATTTAATATTTATATTTGAATTTATTTCAGCTTTTTTGAAAATGACTTTTAATGTTTAGTTGTATTATTAATCAATAACAACACTTGGTGGAAATGGGATCAACAACATTTGCTTCATCAAAAAGGGAAAAGGGAAAGTTTGGCGACTATTAATATACTGTTTAACTCTTTC